GACACAGCATCTCTAGAACCCAGCCTGAGAGGAGCAGGTGCTTACGTTCACCCTCCCGGTCCCGAACTGGGCAAGCACCCGAATGTCCACCGGCAGCAGAATGGAATAAATCAGTCGTGCTGTGTTCCACACCATGAGCCATGACACGACACAGGGAGATACGTCCTGCACACAGCTACCTGGTGGAACTCACCCACACAGCACTGAGCGACAGAAGCCAGGGCCACACTACAGGATAGAAAGGGACCAGGGTGGGAAGAACCTGCACACCTTTGGAAGGTGGCAACTGAAAGGAGCCGGGGGAGCCTCCCAGGGTGTGGGAAGCAACCTGCTGAGAACCTTGGGGGGTCCCTGAGCTGTGCACCCACTGAACGTGGCTGTGCCTCTATCCGGAGCCACAGCAAAACAGCCCAGAAGAAATGCTCGGATCAGTGAGAGCCAGCCAGCCAGCACGGGGCGGGGCGTGTCCTGGAGGAGTCAGAGCACGGAGAGGCTCCGAGGCAAGAATGCAGGTGACATTCCTCAGCTTGTCTCTGCCTCATTGGACCATGTCCCTGTCCCTCGCGCTCTCTGTGCCTCTTGCCACTCATTTGGAGGTTTCTACTCACACTGAGGTTTCCACCACCCGCCAGAAGTCACTTCGACAGCTCACTCCACAGTCCCCCTTTGGGTGTCAGGGAAGGGGCTACAGTTGAAAGGAAAGGACTGACTGGGAGGTCAGCACTGGGTTCAAAGCTTAGTTGTGCCGGGACCGTGGACCCTTCTCCCCTGTGAGCCATTTCCCCGTCTGTAAGAAGTTCTGGAACAAATGAGGTTTTAGGGAGAAGGCTGGGGTAAAGGACATGCTTAACAGATACCTGTTCTATGGGAATCCGGGAAGTGGCCAGAGAGCAGGGCCCCTCCCTCCTGCGGCCCCCCTGGGGGTGCGCAGGTTGCAAACCTCTGATTGCCTGTCACTTGGAGCTCAAAGCCCTGTCCCCAACCGGGCCTGGTGCACACTCGGGGTTCAAGGCGTTTGGCTCATGATAGCTAGCGCTTCACGTGTGTGGACTTGTTCAGGCTCACAGCCACCCTGTGAACCGTGAGCATCCCATTTCACAGAAGGGGAAACAGAGGCACAGAGGTTGAATAGCTTGCCCAAGGTCACACGGTTAATAATTGATGGAGCCCAACTCTGGACCCCTTGCTTCTAATCACACTACTGTAGAATATCCGGAGCCACCCAGGCTGGCCTTGGGGAGCCCTGGAGAAGGTGCTGGAAGCACAGTTCTCCCTGAAGGCAGCTGACCCTGGTCAGCACCGTCAGGGTGGCCAGTGGGACACTCTGGCGCCTGATGTGGGTGAAATCCACACCCTTTCTGATGAAGGCCAACTCACCTAGGAAAACTGTCGAACCAAGAGGCAGCTTAAGCCGCTTGTAAGCCTGGGGCTGCCAGGGAGGACAGGCCAGTGAACTGCGGCTGATGCCCGGATGAGCAAGAGTCACCTTTTGTGCCAAGAACTTTTTTTTTTTTTTTGGCTGCTGCTGTCATTATTGTTTTTCTGGGGAGGAGAGATGGGACATCTTAAGAATTTGCTTGTTCACCTGCAGCATCGTGAGGATTTGTGGCCACTCCCTTCCTCTGTACCATCATGTTTTACTGCTCGCTTTCATTTCTCATGAAGAAACCTGACAGGAATGTTCTAGAAACTGCAGCCTGGGGGTGGGGAGGAGGGGGGAGCCATGCATTCTCTGTGGCACCAGAGAGGGCTACTTGGCATGGGACTGAGGACGTGCTTTTATCCCCTGCTTCTTTACACAGTTATGGACTTTCCTCGTTTGCTTAGGGAAGAAAAAAAAGGTGAGAAGACTGTGATGATAATAGTTATCATTTATTGAGCATTGCTGACATTGAGAGCCAGGACTTGTAGCCTCAGAAGTCTCCAGATATATATGGACTGGAAGTAAGGAACTAACTCGTTCTGGTTTGCTCAGGACCTTCTGGGTTTTGGCAGTAGAAGTCCAGCTTCAAGGGAGACAACCTTGGTCCCAGGGAAATTGACATGCTGGTCCCTGGAAGGCCGTTTATTAGATATACCTGCCCCTCACCTTACCCACATAGCAAGACACTCAGTATCTCCTTTTTCTCCTCTGTGGCCCTGAAACTATTTCCCAGGTGCACGACCTGTTCGTATGGCTTAGCTTCTGGCTTCAAGCTCAGGAACCACTCCTGCGACTCCTTTGGATCTCCTGGCCTCTGCTCAGCCGTCTCCCCCAAGTTCAACTTCCTCCTCTGCACCCTGGATGGCCTCTGCTGTCTCCAGGAGCTGCCCTGGCTCTCCGGAAGCTCCTGCCTCAGCTTTCAGTGTAGGATCAGTGCCCAAGCAAGTGCCCAGAAACGATCATGGAGCGGCTGAACTTTCCAGTGCCCAAGGCAGGGCTGCCCCCCATCAAGAGGATCTCCCACCCAATTCTAGGGTAACTGTTGGCAGGACAGGTCCTTCCTGGAAGAGGCTTTTGAAGCCACTCCTAGGGTGTGGCTTCTTAACACTTTCTGTTCCACGGGCCCCTCAGGCATCTGGTGAAACCTGTGGCCCCTTCTCAGAGTAGTTTTTAAAAACACTTAGGATGCATTTTTAGTGCATGCAAATAAAACCATTTAACTAAAATACAGACATCCAAGTATCAAAAAAGAAAATTTGGACAGTAAAATGCTCTTCTTTATTAAAACTTTAAATAATAAGATTTAATGGTGGGGGCTGGGGATGTGGCTCAAGCGGTCGCGCGCTCGCCTGGCATGTGTGCGGCCCCGGGTTCAATCCTCAGCACCAAGTACAAACAAAGATGTTGTGTCCGCCAAAAACTAAAAAATAAATATTAAAAAAATCTCTCTCTTTCTCTCTCAAAAAAAATATTCAAAGACTTTAAAAACAATTAAAAAAAGATTTAATGGTGGGTCTAATATGATTTTCAGAGTTGGGTAGCTTACACAGTCTCTCAGGATACTTAGAGTAACTGTGGCATGATATGAAAAAAATCAGTGGTTTGTATTAGTGACAAAATCCCAAGGGCTTCTACTTGCTGCCTATTCATAACCAAAGGAAATGCTAAGTACCATTTAGAGATTTGGGAACGTAAAAGATTCCAATGACGTGGGCTGCTCAGAATTCTATCCTCAGCCCCCTTGGGGGTCTAAGAACCCTTGCTTCCGGGGAAATGGCTTTTGATTATTTAGGTTAGATAAACAAGAAAATCACCAACAGATGAGAGAGGCCAAGAGTAAAGAATGGTGACCCCATTGGGCTGTGTTAAGCAGAGAAAGGGTACCAGCTTGGTGAGTTTCTGAGCTCAAAGGCGGGTCCATTTCAGCAGGCAGCAAGAAGCTGGGGTCAAGGGAGGGAATATGTGGAGAGTTTGCTCCAAATAAAAAACAGAGACTATCATCACACCTCAAAGTCACCAGGAGCAAGCCTGTGTCTCCTTTGTCTCTTTTGTCACCAAGAACAATGAGACATTGTCTCTAAAGACAGGGTAACTTCCCTCAAGCTTACACATGAAGAAACAAGGCCAAAGCAAGTTAATAACAAGACAAAAATTAAATGGCAATGCGAAAAATATTGGCAGGAGAATCTGGAAGGTGACATGTATCTGGTTATCAGACACACAGTGAAAGCCTTAGGTATCCAAAGGCGGTCGCCTGCCTTCCTCTGAAGTTTGTGGTGAGGATGAATGCACAAATTAACAAAAGGCCAGCAGTGGGTGTGTGTGTGGGGGTTACAGTATGTGTTTTGCGATCTTTGGGGTTTCTCAGGTCTCAATGACCTTGTCTATAAAATGGGCACAATAACCGAGTATGATCACTGTCATATATTAATGTTTGCAAATTGGTCCAGGAGACACCAGGAGACTGGAGAACTTGACCTTTAGGGTGGTAGATGGACAAAAACCTTTGAAGAAATGAATGAATGAACGCGCCCCCCTCACTGGTTCCGCCCAGGTGCTGCAGCTAGGGCGGTTGAATGGGACAGACCCCCATCTCTGGGCTCAGCTGCATCTCAGAGTGAGAGAGCAGTGGTGGGGAGGTGGTCAACAGCTCAGGGGACGCCAGAAGGCCCAGGCGCGGCTTGCGGGTGTCATTCTGAGGGTCTTTGCTTTACTTCTCCAGGCGCCCCTGGCGGCCTGGAGCCTTTGTGAGTACTAGCCCGGGTACTAGCCTGGGTGCGAGCAGGCGAGCAGTGTCCCGGCAGATCTCGGGACTAAGAGGCCCGCAGCCAGCAGCCCAGGAGCCTAGGAGCCGGGATCCGCCGCATGGGGGACGTGCGGGCGGAAGCGCTGCTTTAAGCTGGGAAGGGCCATCTAAGCTGTCCCAAGACGGAGTGGGGGTGGGTGCTGATGTACCTTCGCATGCTGTGGTCCCTCAGCCCTTCCAGGCCGTGGTCACCTACCTCCGTGGAATTTTGGGTAGGGAAATTTGGGATGGGAGAGGTCAGAGAAATGGGGCCTCCCCAGCGGACAAGACGGGGGAGATGGGGGAGGGGAGTCCCTAAAGGGGGAAGCGAGCGCTGCCGAGGCTGCCGGCCCCTTTAAGAGGCCGGACTGGCTCTGCGGCGGTTCCAGCTAACCAGGTCCCTGGTGCAGGTCTGCGGCCGGCGTTCACCGGCAGAGAACCCGAGCTGTGCGGGTTAGCAGGACTGGACGCAGGGGAGGGCGTGGTCCAGCCGGGGAGCTGGGAGGAGCCAGAGCTGCGGCAGCGGGTCCACTGCGCCAAGAAAGCGGCGGAGCCGGGGGGAGTGGGAGGAGCCTCAGGCCTGTGGGCGTGGCCCGGCCCTGCGGGCCTCGGGGGAGGAGCTTCTGCGAAGGGAACGCCGCAGAGGGAGGAGGGGTGGGCGTGGCCAGGCCGGGGGCGGGGACAGCGTCTGCAGTGGGAGGGGCCGCCGCAGAGCGGGTAGTGCCGGCCGAGAGTCCTCTGCGTGCGCCAGCCGCGGCCCCTTCACAGCGTCTCTGACAGCCCGCTGGCCCCTTCACAGCGTCTCTGACAGCCCGGGCGGTGGGACCCGCGACCCTTACTGGTCTCGTGCCGTCACCGCGGCCTGCACCGCGGCCCGAGGAGCGGCCGCGTCCCGTCCTTCGTCTCGGCGCCCACATCCGGGGGCAGTCTAGCCGGCCGTCGCCGCGAAGGCCGCATCTGGCGCGCATCTGGAACCGCCCGGCCGGCCGCGCTGGAGCCCGCGCCTGCCCTGGCCCGGCCGCGCCGGGAGCCCTGCCCGGAGCTGGAGCCTCACCTGGAGCCGCGGGTCCGGGGCCCTGAGCCACGCAGCCGGCGCATGGTGAACTCGCTGCTCTTCGGGGAGATGGCCTTGGCCTTCGGCTGCCCGCCGGGCGGCGGCGGCGGCTGCCCCGGCGGCGGCGGCGGTGGCGGTGGGGCCGGACCAGGGCCGTCGCCGGTGACGGCAGCGCTGCGAGACGACCTGGGCTCCAACATCCACCTCCTCAAGGGGCTCAACGTGCGCTTCCGCTGCTTCCTGGCCAAGGTGCACGAGCTGGAGCGGCGCAACCGGCTGCTGGAGAAGCAGCTGGAGCAGCAGCAGAGCGAGCGGGATCGGCGGCTGCGCTACAAGACCTTCTCCCGCGAGCAGGCGGTGCAGACGGGGCCTGAGCTGCTGCGGCCACCAGTGCCTGGCGGCGGACACGGCAGCGGCCCGGCGCCCGGCGCCAACGCCAATGCCGTGGCCCTGGGCTGCCTGCCCCCCGGCGGCGGCTCGCACCCGCAGCACTACGGCCGCCTGCCCGGGACCATTTGGAGCTACACGCAGGTGCGGCGCACGGGCGGCGGCGGCGTGGAGACGGTGCAGGGCCCCGGCGTGTCCTGGGTGCACCCCGACGGCGTGGGCGTGCAGATTGACACCATCACGCCAGAGATCCGCGCGCTCTACAATGTGCTGGCCAAGGTGAAGCGCGAGCGCGACGAGTACAAGCGGAGGTGAGTGGGGCCGCCCCTCCCCCGCCTCTCCCTGGGAGGGGGCGTCCAGGTCCAGGCAGCTGTGGAACGTGTGCGCAGGAGGGCAGGGCGGGCAGCTGGTCCTGGCAGGTGGGCTCTAAGCTGTGTTTGCAGAGCGCTATACAAGCGCTGGGAGGACTGTTATCTAGATCAAGAATGGGGGTGGCGCTGACTACGGTTGGGGATACCTCGGCGCCCTCACTGCTCCACGCACGTTGTTATCTATGGGACGTAATGGTCCGCGGTGTTGTATGTGATCTCATTTTTGTCCTCTCGGCGGTGCAGACTGTGAGGTAGCGCAACCCCCATTTTGCAGATGAGGAAGCTGAGGTGCAGAGATGCCAAGTGACTTGACCCAGGAGACTGGGCTAATACCCGGTGAAGTCAGGATTTGATTCAGTGACTTTGCGCCTGGCTAGTCTGTCTCCCAACCTAGGTATTTCCCCAAGGATGTGGGAGGTAGGCTCCCTGCCTGAATGGGCGAAAAGAAAAATCTCTTAACTAACCCACTGCCTTTGTTTTTTGAATTTAATGACATAATGTGTGTGAAAACGGACGGATCTCTCCCTACCCCTCTGTCTTGTTCCGGTTCCATAAGGTCCAGCTCCTGGGCTGGAGAACCATAACTACATCACACTGGCCATGAGCTTTTAAAAATGCCTTCTCTTCTCCACGCTTTCCAAGTCTCATAGTTTATTGAGCCCCAGTGAACTCAGCCCTAAAGGTACCCACCAGGAGATAACCTTGGATCTGAAGACTGGACATTAGATGGACCCAGACCACAGACTCTGGCTAGAGGTGAGGGACACACTGCTTGCAGGACTGGCTAGTGTGTTCCTGCCCAGCCCTGATTCTCTGGCTGGAAAACTGACATTGCTTCCCGCCTGTGTCTTGATTGACAATAAGGTCTGCTTAGCTTTCTGATGAGTGGGGTCTATCTGCAGCATCTCAGGCCTGGATGGGGGAGGGGCCTCTGGCCCTGGGCTGCTGTCTCAGATGTGGACAGCTCTTGGAGACATGGCTCGGAATCCAGAAAGACTTTTCGTTCTCTCCTTAATGTCTGCTGAAGGAGCTGGACAAAGTCTCCTTCCTTCATCCCCCACTGAGCAGGCTAGCTACTGGGAAGGATTCTAATGCCAGCTCCATCACCCGCCAGAGAGATGGTTAAACCACTCTCAAGCCAGTGTGCTCATCAGAGAAATGGGAATAATGAAATACACCATAGTGCTCGAGGGCAGAGTAGGATGCTGCTGGTTTTTTTCAAGGTACAGGGTAATTGAGGGGCTGGGTGAGGTGGTGCACTCCTATAATCCCACCTACTCAGGCCGCTGAGGCAGGAGGATTGCAAGTTCAAGGCAGGTCTGGGCAACTTAGTGCAACTGTCAAAATAAAGAGCTAGGGGTGTAGCTCAGTGGTAGAGTGCTTGCCTAACATGTGGGAGTACCTGGTTTAATCCCCAGTACCTCCAAAAGAAAAGTAACTAGGTGGATTCGTTAATGATGACAGACACTTTGTCCAGCCAACAGGAGCAGAACTGTCTGGAGCTGGCAGTGCAGGGTGGTGAGCTTCCTTCTGGGGTTCCTTTCTCTCTGGAGGACTTGAGAATGGCCTGATGCTTTTATAAGGAGGCCACCCCTCTGGCCCTGGTGATCAGCCCTGTCTGGGTGGGTCAGGGTAAGATGCTTTCCATGGTGAAACTCAGGGAGGGGTGGGCCGGGCCCTCCTGTCTGCTGCTGTTGACCATGTCGTCATCGTCATCCCACAGACTTGCCTTGTGTTTGTCTAATGGTGTGTGTGCTCTGCGGACCTGGGTACTAGGAGATGGGAAGACTGTGCCCAGTCTTGGAGGGAGATGGGTTGGCATTGAGCAATGATCTGTTCAAGTTGCACCCAGGGCGTGGGATGTGATGTCAGCCTTTGGCGCTGGCCTGGAATGAGCCAGCGCTCCTGGGGCAGGTGGGGTGCAGGTGTCCTTCTCTCTGCCTTTCTGGGGTGCATGCATACCTTCCCCACCTCCATGATTTTGTGCATTGGGAAGAACCATCTTTTCTGAAGTGGATTCAGGCCTCATGTTGGATTTTTCCAAAGTGAGCAACCCCCCTGCCTGGGGCGCAGTTTCCCTCCCTGTGAGCCAGGTGCTTGGGCTGGAACTGTGCTTCTTGCAGACCTGGATTTCTTCAGCGATGCTATAGGGGTTCCTTGAATATTTCCTGCAAATTGTTTTAAAAAAGTGTTACAAAAAATGTCCTTAACAGCTTTGTTACAATGTTAATACAGTCACAAAAAATGTCCTCTCTTTTAAGTTCTTGGTGTTGACTTCCTGGATTCCACTAATGTGTAACTTGTTCACAGTTGACCTCAAGGTCCCTCTTTCCCCCTGTCTGTTTTTCTGAGGGTGTTTCGAGATTCCCATGCAAACTGCGGAGCACGATTCCCTCTCCCAGCCCCTTACCTGTGTGCCTCAGGATTTCTTTCATGCTCTGCAGCCCAAACTGGAGATGGAATTCAACTGGATGTGGAACTGTCATCCCTAGTCCCCGTCCTCGATGTTAATGCATCAAAATAGATTAATCAGTTGCACTGATTGAATTGAGAATAGGTGACTGTTAGGTACTTGAGCCGACAATAGAAATGTAAATATGTAACATTCTGTTTTTATTTGTTGATATATTGGGGTTTTTCATAAGAATTTTCTTTGGGGGGAGGAGGGTAGATATATGATCAACTTAAAAAAAAATAGTTTGAAAAACAGTGGCTACACGATTTCAAAGGGTTTTCCCAGCCTTGACAATATGAAAGTCGAGTCGAAGCTCCTGGCCTACCTCTGTCCCCCTTCCCACGAGAGGAGCCAGGTCTGGGAGATGAGACCAGGATTGGCCACTAAGGCCTCCGCTCCTCCCAGGAAGTCTAGCGTGCACTCCTCAGTGGTGACCAATGGAGGGAGCCTGTCTAGGAAAGGGCATGTCCCATGTGCCTGTGGTCACCTGGAGGAACCCACAGCCTCAGGGGCCCCCACTGGCTTCCTGGTGTGTGCAACTCAGTGTTCTTCAAGTCCCACCTCCATGATTTGTGGCCCTATTCATGTGCGACCCCTGTACGGTTACTTAAGTGAAGTAGCTTACCGGCTTTATTGAGGTCTAATTTGCATATCATGGAAGAAAGTCACCCATTTGAAGTATATTAATGACTTTAAGAAAAGGCCCAGAATTGTCAGCCATCTGCACAGGCCAGATTTAGAATCCTCCATCCCCCGACACCCTTCGTGGCTGTGTGTAGACGGTCGCCATCCCTGCCCGCTGCACAGTCGGGACCTGCTCTCTGTGTGTCGATGTGCCCTTCCTGGACATTTCACGGTAGTGGCTTTGTGCTCTGTGTCGTCTTTCATGTCTGGTTTCTGAGGCTCACGTGTCTTTTCCTTGCTGAGCGGCGTGTAAACCCGACCGCTCATGCGTTTGCCTGCACCTTCCCCTGTAGTGTAAATTTAAAGAGTCGCCCCTGCTACCCTCTCAGGACCATCAGCCTGCTCCACCATGTTTAGGGAACATCAGCCCAGGCAGAGCTTCTGGCCGGGCTGCCCGGCCCCGGCCCTGCTCACCACTCCTTTGGTTTCCCCTCGGCCCAACCAACCATTTACCACGTGGTAAATGTGGTCACTGAGACTGTATGGAGCGCAAGGTTGTCAAGCGTTGATCTGGAAACCAAAACAAACACACTCCTCTGTCACCCACCAGTGTCACCAAAATATCCTGTTCTGAGTTTGAAAGCTGGGGGCTTTTCCCTGGGAGATTCCTGCTGAACTTATCTGAACTTTAAACAGGAGAGTTTTCTCAGTTGACATCAAGGAGACCTGGATTCCAGGTCCAGTTCTACCGCTGTGTGCTGTGTGACCCTGGGGCAACGGCTGCCCTCTCTGGGCCTCAGGTCATCCACCTTTACGGGAAGGGGTTCCTTTGGGTAATCCCTTCAGCCCGCTCTGTGGTTCGGGTCTGTGACACAAAATCTAGGTTATGGTGATTTTTCTGCCTGATCTTTCTGACGTGTGCTTTCTGTGGTCCTTCTTTGTTCTGGGCATCCCCGTCCCTCTTGCCTCTGCGTGGCTAGGGTCCAGGCTTGGGGCATAGGCAGTGCTCATGCTGAACAGTTTAAACAGTTTGGCTCTGGAATCAGGAACTCTTTGAGTTTGTTGAGAAAAAGTTCCCTCTGAGAGCGTGGTGCTGGGGCGGTGGCCCAGGGCTGTGCTGGCCTGGCTGCCTGTGGGGCACGGGGACTTTCACGGGGTCTGGTGCTCCTGCAGCCCTCCTGGACTTCAGGCCCAGTGTGATTGGGAGTGGGGGCCTAGTTCCCTTCCGAGCAGGTATGTGGGAGGCTGTGTTGGCAAGATTGGTTTTCCCTTGGGACCTGGGGTGAATTGGAGGGTCACTTGAGAGTTAAGAGGGGCCACTGTGATCATCGGGGCTGGTGGGGCCCACAGCAGGGTGCCTGGGCGATTCTGGGGACAGTGCAGCGGGAAAGGCCCCGTCAACCCCGCAGCCCTGTGTGCATCTGACTCCCCAGCGACTGGACTGTCTGAGGAAGTTCCCGTCTGGGCTGGGCCGGGCCAGTTGGGGCTTTCGCTTTAGAGGTGGGGAAACCAGGGCCCAGCAGGACCCCCAGAGCCAAGCGAGCCGGGTTCCCTGCCCTGATACTAGCTGTTTGCAGCCGGGACTTAGAAAAGGTCCTGCACTTTCTCATGTGTCTGTTTTAAGCATTTTTTTTTTTTTTAAATCCCCTTTCTGGGGTGGGAGGAACTTTTGTCACAGCTATTTCTGACCTTGAGCCGGAAGGGGCTGGGCTGTCAGCCAGAATGGAGGTCTCCAAATTGGATGGTGAGTGGGCAGCTGGAGTGTCCCCTGCCTTTTCCCATCCCGCCCAGGGAGGCCCTCCAGCAGGTGGGTGCTGGCCCCTGAATGCCCGGGACCCAAACACGGCTCATAGGCTCCGTT